TGGATCTACAGCTAGCTAATAACATTTATTATTTCTCCTTTTTGCTCTCAGTGTTTTACCATCAGCCGTGAACCTTCCCTCTGTGAACAGTTTTCCCTGGGGTATTTTAAGGAAGTGATCATGTTGCTGGGGAGCTGCTGCCAAATGCACACTATTCCGAGATGAGATTCTCTCTGTGGGAATTGGTCGGTCTCTCTGGAGTCCCCATAGCCACCATTCCCCTGGATTTGCAAGATGAAGGAAGCCAGGAGACAACCAACTCTTTCCAAACACGCTCATTCCCCTGAGCTATCAATTCTTTGTTCCTTGTTTGTGTAGACTGGTATTTGCAAGCAGTCCAACGGAACTATCTGGACAAATCACCAGCAGTAGCCAGCGTTATCCCTGAATCCATGCTTCTGGGTTACACTGCACTTACTCTAATCTATGGTAAACTGCCCCTCTGTTTCTGAATCTGAGGAACAACTGCTGAGATGCCTGGTCTGGTCTGATCACTAGCTTCCTTCCATATGAGTAGCTGTGAAAGTATTCTATAGTTTTAATTGTTGGCAGAGCATGCTATAATTTTTCCCAGGAGRGCTTAACTATTGACTCTAACAAAATGTCATCCTCTCRAGTTATTTACATTCCTGTATCAATRCTCAATCCATAGACACTAGCATCTGGGTCTAATAGAAAAGGAGATTTGAAACCCTGGTAGGTTAACACAGAAAAAAAAMCCAGAACTTTTTCATCTCTGGAAGTACTAAATTGCACACTGACCATTTAAATAACATTCTTCACCAACCCTTTTTATGCAAATGTTATGTAATATTGTGAAACACACAAATAAGCCTCCTCTGGTAGGATTAAAGTGGCACAAAACTGCACATCTGAGAGTCTCTGGGGAGCTGGCTGRTGTTCAAATATCTTAAGAGTAGAATTTCCCTCTTCGCTGTTCCCCGTGCCAGAGCTACAGTCATTCTTTTCCAAACAATTCATATTTCTTTGGGTACAGTAGACCAGCAGCCTTGAGCTGATCCCAAACTATTTGTAAATGTATCTAATCTTGTTCAAAGATACTAGCGTGTGCCCAGGGCATTATCTAGCTGTTGTGAGCAGGCCAGGAGGAGTTCCTGAACCCCAGTCTTCTCTGGTGGTCTTACAAATATAGCTACCCACTTACAAATATAGCTACCCACTACCAAAGCAAAAGCTACCAAAACGGATTGTCACAAGCCTGCTCTGCATTAAAAGCCTGTGTTTCAACCATATTCTAGTTAGGAAAAAAGGAAAAAAAAAAATGTCAGAATGTAGTTGAAGCACAGGCACAGTTGAAGGTTCAGCTATGCTCTTCTCATAAGTTTTTTTCCATGTCCTTTGTGGCCTTTTCTTTCTTTTCTTCCTGGCAAAAGAGGAGGYGACCGTTTGATGTGCCGCTTCTCCTGCTGGCAGCCTAGAGGTGACTGGAAACACTGCAGCCTTGGCCTGTGCTGAATCAGGCCAAAAACCTTCACTCTTACCCAGATGGTCTTTTGGATCGTTCTGTGGGCTCCTCTTTAAAGGAGTAGTGTCATATCAGAACAACTCGAACAGAATTCCCTTACTCCATCTCACCTTCAGGTTCATCGTTCTAATGTTTTTCCTCTATATGCTTCTTTTACTCCTGTGGTGGAAGTGTTACATGTATCACTTTTTCCTATTCACTCCACGTTAGTCACATTAGCAAAAGGACAAGAATTCACTCCTCCTTCACATCTACTAAAAATCTAAAACACCAGATCCTACTGTGAACTGTGTCCAAAAACTGATTTCCACCAAAAGTTTCTTCTGCTAAAAGACTAACATAATATTCAGCTGCATTTTTTTTCTGATGCAGGACAGTTTGCTCACATTGGTAAATTATTTGCTTCATGCAAACAGATCTTTAAAGGATTTGCCACAGCCTGGATTTATAAGGTACTGCCTGTCAATTGTCAGTCACTGTTAGTCACCAAAAAAGCTCAGGCAAACAGACCCACTTGGAATCTGCCCAGCCAGGCTCATCTAATAATTGTCATGCTTGAAGCTAAGTCTGTGTTGGTCAATAATCAAGCTCCCATTCGTGTTGCTCAACTGCCCGGTTTTAAGTATATGATGGGATAGGTCCTTGTTTTATCAAAGCATTACCCAGTAATTATTGGTGTCCCTTGTTTTTGGTGTATTTTTTTATTTTTTGAAATGAGACAAACTGTCACTAGACACTTTCATGCTGTACTCTGGCTATCTGTATAAACATTTTTTCCTTTTTTTTTTTCTGCTGTCCACACTTAGCTGAACCATTTCTTTGCATTACTGTAAGTTTACTCTGTCTCATAAACCAAATGTATTAGTTTTATTCATAGCTCAAAAGTGCAACAGACTATAATCCCTTTTCCAGCACGTATGCTAGTCATAGAGCTGTTCTCAGCCTCCTTCTACGTGCGTGCTTCCCATTCCAGAGCACGGCTGCAAGAMGAGATGCAGTTATGAGCTCAGAGCTATACAAATAATTTCCAGGGTCTTTCTGGGGGCCTCTAGCTTCCTCCACTCACCTTGGTCCATAAAAACATACAGAAATTGCTCTACTGATAACTTTATTTACCCCTGATACGTTCAGTGGTACCTGTGCATTCTACAGGCCTCCACAGTCTTCTGCCAGTTAGGTGAGGTCTCTTGTTTCTCTCCTTGCTGACTCTCCTGTATCCTCTGGCTCTTCTCCAAACTTTAAAGCAATGGTTGGGGCTCCCTCAAAGATGAAGAATCCTTCTGGTGGGTGAGCTGTGCACTGCCATCGAAATTGGATACGATGTCCCACATCCCTTCTGTTCCTTCTTCAGATGTGCATTTGGGTAAGGAGGAGGAGGAGGTGAGCTGAATTGGATTCCCACTGAATCCTCCCCTTCAGAAAGAACATCTTCTGCACTTGATGATCTCCTTCTGGACATTCCAGAAATCTTCCCGGCCTTTAGGGGTTACAAGAAAGTTATGAAAATGATGTAATTGTTTCACGTTGCTGTCAAGTACACATATCTGTCACTGGTGAGTTAAAAGAGGCACAGCCTTCTCCTCACTTACACTAGACGAAGCCAGAGAAGAGGGGCCACCGCTTCACCGGAGCAGTGGCTGGTGGTGGCAGGGGCTCTGGAGAGGGAATCCACCACCTAGGACTCCCGTGCCAGGCTGTCATGGAAGGCTGTTCTAGGAATGAGCTAGTGGGGACTGACAAGGGAAAGGCATCAGGCTGCCTGGAACATGCGTCCCTTTGGTCTGTTACGCAGTGCCTGCAGTCTGCTAGACATTTGGATTTGGAAAACCCTGCCAGGGAGATAACAGATCATTTGAGAAGCTTATTATTTCCTGTTAAACACTTAAACTGAAGGTGTAGCAGAAGAGGAAGCACTTGAGGCCCTTCACCAGGCTGCAACAAGGCAACTATTCAAATATTGGCCTTATCATCTTACTGAAGGTCAAACAGAGCAGTAGCAGTTGTGCTAGGAGAGGAAAGAGCCTCAACTCCTGTGTTTTTGTCTACATGGTAGATACACACTTTCCCATACCTCTGAATTTCCTTGTCACGACGGGTTTATTTGACTGCATTGTGTGCTTCTGTGATTTAATTGTTATGTTATTAGGGTGAGTAAAATAAAGCTGCAGCTTTTCTTTTGCTGTATTAGTGCGGTTTAATTACATTTGGGAAAGGCGAAAAGGAGAGTGGGAGCTTGCCAACATTAATGCTGTCTGTCATTCACAGCCCATTGATGACAAGGAGTTGAAAGCTTGGCAGTTACTCTGGTAATCAGCAACCTGGCTGATGACGAATGGAAAAGATTATGTGAAATTTCCTGAAAGGGGGAAAAAAGAAGTGTTCTCCAAAGAAATAAAATACAAAATAAGAACAAAGGGCAAAAAAATCCAAACCCCAACTTCTAAATCCAACACTAAATCCTTTTTATAATGCTTACATGAAAGACACGACATGAAACAGTTATAATAAAAGAAAAATTCCACTAGTAAACTGTGTTTAATGTCTATAAAAGGGATCTATGTTTCTAAAATAGGAGCACAAATATGTCTGCTTGATTGTTGCTAAAAGTGATTTGGAAATGGACTTTTTCCCGTAGCTGAAAAATATGTATCTCTAGTAGAAAAAAAAACCCCAAACTTTCATCACTATAGATGGCATCTCAGTTGGATTTTTTCATTTGCTGACAATGAAAGGAAACTAATCGCTACAGTCATTCCAAATATATCACTCCTGATCTTTCGAAATATAAATTTTTTTTTTAGTTCTCTTCTTTGCATTCACGCTACTTAATTCTCTCTTTTTAATAAAGAGGAATGTGTACTAATTTCATGTTATTAGTAGTAACATAGGRAACTGCTATTCAGGCTTAGATTTATTTGTAATAGTCCAGCCTTCAACACACTAGTAATCTGCAAGAACCCCAGTAAAATAAAACTGGGCACTACATCAGCATTTAAGGAGAATAAATTCTGCAGTAGTTATTTGGTTTTGCTGTAACCTGCAAAATGAATGATTTGTGACATTACTCATTTGTCTTAATTAAAACTTGAATATAATTCCAAACCCATTTTGGCATCTCTGGTATGAAATAATGTGACTTCTCTGAGGTTTTGTGCTGTCATTTTTCTGTAGCTGCTGGATATAGCTACTCAATTTCACACTTCACATAATTACTCTTCAGTATTCCAGACTTACACCTTTCGTTTYGCTTGTGATGGGCAAGGTAAAAGGCTCTATGGTATCTACAATGTTGCTGTACTCTTGTTTTAAAAACCAAGAAAAACCTGTATTTGGACAGTGCAGAATTGTTTGTTTGGTATGTGAGATCTTTTTGGTCTCTTCTGTCGAGCACGGCATAATGCAAGGAAAAAACAAAAGCCTTTTAATCATGATGTTAAGCAACTGAGGCAATTTGAAGCTTACCAGCAGGTAATGTTGACTACGCAGTACTGTGCATAGGGATTTTTCCTTTCACACTGCTGAGCAGATACATCACTGTGTGGCTTCAGGCTTTTTTCCCAGAGGCAATGTACAACAGTTCCACATTTTAAGATGGAAACATCTCACCACAGCTGAAAGAAGATCACTGAAATTTAATGAAAAAAATACGTATGAATGATTTGACTGATGTATTTGGTGCTATGAATTAGCTATATATTTATTAGGTTTAAAATACACTGTGTGCTAAAGACCTCCCCCCACTAAAGAGATGTCAGCATCAGGTATTTATGTATCAGGTCCAGTTTTAAATATCTGTGGAAAAGATGAAAAAGGCAGGGTAAAAACCCCTTAACTTATTTTTTATGTTAGCAACAAAGCCCAAACAACAGTTTTCTTCATTGCTGGACAAGGAAGAGATAAGGTTACTTTGCAGACAAGCCTTCCTGTGTATGTCCTTTTCTCCACGTGGCGATAATGCCCAGGCATAGCTTGACGTTTTTCTGCCCAGTTTTCAAGGACATGCAGAAACACATCAAGCTCAGGCTCACGAGCACTGACTCGTGACATTCAGGCATCCAGGCRTCTCAGCTAAGACCACCCTGAACATATAGCTCAGCTGCACTTGCACACGCGTGTTAAATCCGACCCCTTAGTGAAGTATCATCATGTGCATGAGCAGTAGGTCAGGCAAGACTAGGAAGTGTTGACTTAGTCCATATGAAGGGACTAGCTCTGCAGGGAAGACACAGGAAGTTTGATGTATCAAAGCAGCACAGGGGAAGGGAATCGGGGAACACGAGACAGGATGGACTGCAGATTTCAGGGCTTCAGGCTGTCAGTCTGTGGTGGCCTCCTGTGCCTCTTCTGAAGCGACACCGTCTTGGCAGAAGTCTACATGAACTCCTATCAGTAAAAATCAAACCGCTTGAGATTCATAAAAAATTCTAGAGTAGATTAGATCTGTTCTCTTAATACATGGTTTCAACACACAGATCCCATGAGCTGGATCGCAATCCCACTACAAGTTATGACCACCCATAAAGTGTGTTATTCCATCATATTAAAAAAACTAGACATTATTTTTGTTAATATTTGTCTAAATCTATTCAATCTATAATTGAAATTACAGCTAATTCAGGTTTTATCCTCTCTGACATATAAACTGAAGTAACTTAATACACATAGATGCTTGCTGCTACAGTTCTGAAGATGGGGATGTCGCTGAATTGACTTAAGTCACTGGTGAAGTGGATAGGACAGGTTGCAACTGGTGCAGGAAAACAGTTTTTGAGAGCTGCAGCTTTGGCAGACAGAGTGAATACCTTCTTTGTTTCAATTCAGCTGAGTAGTTTAGTTAATACTATTTCACTAAAAAATGAAGAATTAGCTTCGAGTTGAAAAAAAATGCCTGTTTTTCTCCTGCAATCTACGACTAAATCGGAGGGGATAAGATCTACTTTGAGACTGTGAAGGGCATGATGACTAAAAGCTATGACTGTAATTSCATTTCTGCAGGTAATTATTTCAGTTTTTTTCATAAAACATTTTAAATGCAAACATGATTTTGAAATGCATCAAGAACATTTAAGGTAGACTAAGGTCCTAATCAATTAACAGTTTAGAATGATACTATGTAAATTTTAATTGAATGAGTTTTCATACAAATAGAGCTTGACTTAAAACATAAATAAAAAAGCTAAAAATATGAAGTATACATTATTTTGTGACATAAAAAAGAAACCAATATTCTGAATAAAAACTTAAATTCAAATAACTGACTATAGGTATAATGTTATCTCTTTGTTAGAGCACAGTATCTATAGAGCCTGATTCAATAATACTAATCAATCGCAAATTTAGGTTTACATGTTAAAAATGAAAATCAGTTGCTAGAGAGGCAACTAAAAAAGAAAAAGAAACTAAAAAAAGTTAAATAATAATTAAAYTACTAAGCTCAAGATTTTTCTGCTTGTTCTTTTAAACCATAATTAAAATGAAGGATTTACATAAAACCACTCTTACTATATCTGGTACATTTCATCACCAACTTTTAATATTAAAGACAATAATAAATAAGAATGGTACTTAGCAGATTTCCTTTTTGTTTTGGTAGGAATTTATTTCTCAGATTTCCCATGGGGAAATTATACAGCCTCAAGATTTCCAAAAAAAGGGTGCGTGTCTGTAATTACATTTCTAAGCCTGCATTCAGGCATCTGAATAAGTGAATTGATTGTGAATATGCTCGGCAATTTCTAATAGATCCTGACCATTAGGCTGATCAAAAAAAAAAAAATCAAGCATATTTATATTGTTGTAAAATGCTGACATGTCAAAATGAAAACTTTCAAGATAAATATATGCTTTCCCAGTAACAGAAATCGTACAGACGAGTGTTCAGAGCCAGTCTACAGTTTCTGATGCAGAGCCAAACACCATCTCCATCCGCACGTTGGGCSCGTAGGAGCTCAGTGGGTCGCTGAGACGCTCACCCCTTCGTGGCAGCCTGAGTTCATGCTGGCCCTGTGCTATGGTCTCCTGGGCTGATGTGAGGTACATGCCTTTATCTCCTCCAGAAAATGTCCTTTATTTCATTCTGTAATCAGAGAAATGTTCAGATGTCAGTGCTCTTTTATAGATCATATTTTTTTTTTATTTTCCAGCTCATTTTTTTTTAAAGTTCTTTTTAAATCAGTGGTAAACTCACTATGTGCACTAAAGGCAGCCCTAGGCCTGCTAATTGTTGCTAGATACTGAGCAGACTTYCTCGCCTAGCAGGCAATACTAGAACAAATGTGTATGAATTAAATTTATTCTGGGAAGGATGTTGAAATATTTCACTTCAGGATGGCTCGACAAACGCGCAGCGAGGCCCCTTTCCGTGTAATTTGCCTCTCCTCCATGTGCGCATTTAACTCTCCTTCTCTCCTCTCATAATATCATAGGAGTATAATATTATATATTTATGATTCTTTCATGGCCTGATTTCTGAAGCGAACAGAGCGCTGTGCCTGCTCAGTCCCGTTGGGAAAGACGGCAGAGGCTGCCAGGGAAGAGGGGGCCGCCGCGGGCACCTGCAAACTTGCCCGGTGCCCTGTGAGCGCCTTTGGGTGCAGGGATCGCCGTGGCCGCCGCCAACGGCCGCCCTCGCGCCCAACGGCCGCCCTTTCAGCTAACGGCCACCCGCGCGCCCAACGGCCGCTCTCCCGCCCAACGGCCGCGCTGCCAACTAACGGCCGCTCTCCCGCCCAACGGCCGCCCTTGCGCCTAACGGCCGCGCTCCCGCCTAACGGCCGGCGCGGGAAGCCCCTGCGCCCCCTCCCCGCGCCCTAACGGGAGGAGGACGAGGACGAGGAGGAGGAGGGCCACGGCGGCCCGGGACCCCCCGCCCAGGGAAGGCCGTGGGTCGCCCCGCGGCTCGCCGCCCTAGCTCAAGTCAGCCCGGGGCGGTCCCGCGGGCGCGGGGCGCAGCCTCCCGCCTCCGGCGCCGACCTCCGCCCGAGGCGAGGCGAGGCGGGAGGGCTCCTCCGCCGCAGCCCGGCCGCCG